TCGGCTGTAGATATGGCATTTTTACTTTGGCTCTGCAGGCTCCAATAATGGTGCGTGAGTGAACATTGCTATTTACTTGTATATTATCTAACTTTGATTGTTTTCTTGTCCGACAGACATTAATATCGTGGATTCGTCTCCTCTCGTTAATCGCCAAGTCCTTCAGAGTAGTGTGTACGACGCATTTTCATACACACTTGCTGGCAAGGAATTTCAGCAGTTGTACTATCTCGTTGATGGGATAAATCCGCCGTACTCGTGCTTCATACCCACGGTCTCAAAGCCTGCCTCTCCCAAGGATAAGCATTTTGCCAAGCAGCAGGAGAGTGCGCGCAAAGATGTCGAGCGAACGTTTGGTGTACTGCAGAGACGCTTTCATATTCTGAAAATGCCAAGCCAGATTTGGTATACAAAAGACATGCTGGTTCTTATTAAGGCGTGCGTTATTTTGCACAACATGATCGTTGAAGATGAATGGGGAGTCGAAGGCTTGGAGGAGCTCCCGGAAGAAACAACACACGTTGAAGCTACCACAAAGGTGATGAATCGTGGCGTTCGCGTGGTTGACGAGCAATACGACGTGGACAGTTTCATTACGAGGCGCTTCAAATTCAGCGTGAAATTGAACACGTAGCACTGAAGTCAGCTCTCATTGATCATCTGTGCAACCTGAAAGGAAAGAAGACTTGTTAGCGTAAATAATTATCATCAGCACGCAGGAATTTCGTACCAACGGGAGATACGTTCTCGACTCCAGGAGCACCTCCGACTCTCGCCTTCGTATTATAAGTACGAGTATCTTCAGCATTGTTAGCAAAGACAATTCTGCTCTGTAGCAAAACAATACGCAGTTCCTCGAGTTCTGCCTTTCTCTTTGACGCCCTCGCTATATCAAGCGCAGCATCGGCAAGTCGTTGATTGCTAGCCTTAAGGGAACGCGCGGCCTTTTGTTTTTTAATGCCGTCTGTTCGTTCTGACCCCTCCCCTGTGGAAACCTGTTGCGAGGCTGCGGTGTTGGCTGGAGCAGCAACAGGCACACGCGTTTGTTGGCTCGTGAATTGCAGTTGGAGCTTGGTAGTGTCTTCCACTTCGGTTCATTGCGGAGCTCGCGCCATGCTTCTAGGCAATCGAAATATGTTTCCTGCTCGCGCTCGTACATGGCTATCGCATCGTCAACCTGATCTTCATCCGTCTTGCCACTTTGATTAAGCGCCTTGATAGCAGCAACGCAGCCGCAAAACTTGCCAACGGACAGACGCAGCAGCTTCCAGTGCTTTGTCACGGCGCTCTGGGGGCGCTCGAAGCGGGACTCACGGCGGGGGCGAAACTCGTTGTACTTCATCGTCACTCGCTCCCAAAACTGGTTGCTGGTCTGGTCCGTGCCAGTAATATCGTCGTTCGAAACCATTACCCACGCTTTGGCGAGCGCCTTCTTCTCCGAGGAGATCCAGTTTGGCCCCCGAGTAGACAACTTGGGCCCGCTGCTACTAGTTGTCATAGCTGCTTCACTCAGCCTTGAAGCCTGCTGCTGCGTTGAAAATGAGCGCGAAGGATCTACTAGAGGCGCGAACACTGTCCTGCCAAAAAAGTCGCTGTAGGCGATGCACTGCTGCGGTTAAAGTACCCTTATTTTCCGGACAGCGTAACGAAGAGGCCAGCCTCATATCCGACAGCAAATCGGCTCTTTTTGTTGCCAGGAGATGCCCTAAATGCACAAAAATAATGCTACAGCTTAAATATTTTTTTTAGCTTTCATTGAGTTTAGTAGAAGAAGTGATCAATCTTCAGTTACTTACAGTGTCAAATAGGCCGTACAACCGGAAAATTAGCTCAAGCTGGATAGGCCATTACTATATTTTGCGCTAATGTGAGCTAAGTTTCGTAGCAGCTCAGAAACGGCCCGTGATGAGCACGACGCTAAACTAAAACTGTGTAGCGTTTGAATATATATTTTTGAAGTTCTTGAAGATACAGTGATAGCCAGCAATAATAAAGAGATTGCATCAATAATCTTGATTCAAGATGATTAGAATATTTATTCTTAATCAGGTAAGCATGGTGTTGACACATAAAAATAGAGATTTAGCGTTTTATTTTAATTATCCCGCTGTTTCCCCAGTCTCGCATGTCCCCAAATTCCCGGTCACAGTACAGTACTGCACCCCGTTTTCGCGGGGTGGACCATATAGGATTTGTAAATAAACTAGATTTTAGCTTACAAATTAAAGTTCAGGATCATCACATCCGGAAGTTTATCAAAGGTCCAAGGGCGCGAAAACGGGGTGCAGTGTACTGTACCAAAGTAAGAATTACTGGTCCGTGGTGACATATCGGTATTTACCGATTTGGTACCGTTAACCAACTTACCTAAAGCCTCACCACTTCGCAGCCTACAAGGTACCTAAGGTACCAGTACAAAAAAGTTCAATTCCCACTCAATTCCCAGCAGGTCCTACAGTATTATACATGTAGTGGGAATCCCGCTGGAATTCCCTATGGAAATGGGGAAATACCTGCGCCGAGGAACTCCACCATAAAAGGCACTTACCTAACACAGAACTGTACATGTACTATTGATAAAAATAGGTACCTGAAGTACTACAGTACCTTGAAGGTAGTACCTTCGTATTTATGTACTGTAAATGTCCAGAGCTACAGTAAAGAAACTGTATTTAACTGCTGCTCGGCTGCGCAGTCTAGAAGTGAGATGGGATTTTCAGATTGCAATTTATTAAATCACATGTATTTTTACTACTTTAAATATTAATACATGTAGCACTTCGGAAGACCTTTACTGTAAAGGTCTTCCAAAGTTTACTGCAGCATAAAAAGCACTTCGGAAGCTGTATAAGCTTACAAAGCTTACAGCGACATTTAAAGAGCTTCAGTAAACTAACAAAGAAACGGGAGACGAAAATCACAGAACCCCTCGCCCTTATTCGACTACATAATTTTGCAATTAAACATTAATAAATAGAGCGTAATTGGATTATAAACCATGCATAAAAACAAGATGGGTAGAGGCAGATTATGAATGGTTTTACAAATTTTAACCCTTTCAAGATAGCCAGTCTTGCTAGATCGATTCTCACTTTGTGAAAACATTGTTTTAATAATTTGACTTTTATTAATTACAAATCGACCAAGGGAAAATGACATACATATCTAGGTTTTAATATTGTCTGTTTGGAATCAGTGATTTGAAACCAATCTTGACAGCTCTTCCAATACCGGTATCCACAGAGTCTGGAAGTTCCAGACCTTCTGTGGATATTACCGATAATCACTGAATAATATGCAGCGCACTGTACAGTTTATTACTACAGTGGTACCCGAAAAACTTTGGATTAGCTATGTCATTATCATCCAATCACATTACATGTACTTGGTTTGTCACAGTACAGTACCGGTTATTCCGTAACGGTAGTTCCGTGTCACTCAAAGACTTGTTTACTGCACGGTAGTGGTACACACTATTTATTACTATGCGGAGGAATCACTATCCACAACTGTACCATTACAGAGGTACCATCGCCTTAATCTACTGGGGTATCAGCGAACTATGCCACTGCTGCAAAGCTGTACGGCGTGAGCTTGCGTCAAGCTTTGTAAAATTTCGGCAATCTATACATACGTAAAATTATCTTTATGAACCACTGGCAGAACGAGGGTATTTTAGATATGGATACTGGTAGCTGTAAATATGAGTCGCAGAATAAATGTCTTGTGTCCTTCGAGAAGCTGCAAAACTTGCCAGAACAGAAGATATACAGAAATCTGCCTGATTAAGGAACGCCTAATATAAATTAAGAAAGAGATTGCATAAGCTGACAAGTTCGGCTCGTAGGGCTTGAGGATCATTTACTGCGCGCCATTTTTTAAATTGAAATCAAAGTCAGTGCCTGGATTGTTGTCAGTACCTTGCCCATCACTATCCCATCCTTCTAAATCTTTCCCGACGATAAAAATTGCGAGGTTATTAATTGAAGCCCCGCTCCAGATTTCTGTACATGTCTTTTCTGAGCTTCACGAAACGATCATTCAGATTAGTTAGGGACCTCAAGATAGTTATAAAAATCGATTTGTCTGTAAACTTGAGAGTATCACTAATTGGGATACAGGTCCAAAAGAGGATTGTTTCGGACCGGAATTTTCGGTAACGTGTATAGACAGTATTACATGTGCATGTACAAAGTACCGCGAGTGACTCCCGCTGGGACACGGTGGTACAGTACCGACAGTACCTTACCTGTAGGCGTAACTTTCCCCTTGATCGCATACCTGCCACTCAGTTCGCAACTAGCATCCCAGACGCTCAATCGATCAAAACTCGGCTAGCCTTCACTAAAGAGTCTTCCGTCATGCGGTTCTTCTACGTCGCCCTCGCTGTCGCAGCCACACTCCTTGCCAGCACCGACGCAACTCCCACTGACTCTCAGCAAAAGTCCAACTTGCGGAAGTCCGTCATTGCCAAGGTTGGCGTCGATGCGAAGCGCTCTTTGCGCTCTTCCGAGGAGGAGCCTGCTGCTCCGCTGGTTGGTCTTGAAGAGCGTGGTGGTGGACTAAACTCTGATAAGCTGTGGAAACTTGTCAAGTCCCACGAAGCTATTCCAGTGGAAATCGCGAAGCTGAGTGACAACGTGCAAGAAAAGATCGCTGGCGTGTTGATGGCCCAAAATCTGTCTCTGGAGAAATTCGCTAAGAAGGTAGGAATGGATGGTGCTCACGACACAGCACACCGCAACAACCCATTTTTTCAGAAGTGGAAAGCTAACTTTTTAGACGGAAAGAAGCCGAAGAAGATCCCTGAAGAATGGATCTAAATGGGTTCGCATCGTACAGATTAAATGACATAACTGGTTTTAAAAAAGCTGCTGATTTTCTGACTTGGTAATCAGCTCGGGCATCCCCTGCCATGAGAAAATAGTGCTGATTTCAACTCAGAATTCAATACAATTTACTCAGTAGTAGGTTCCAGCACTATTGAGCTGTAGATCATCTTGTGTGGCGTTTCTTTTCATTTCGCATAATAATTCATGTACTGTATATTGTAGTATTTGACTTTGATAATAGCCAGCTCTGTAATACTACAATAGTACCACTAACGTTAGTAGTACTAACTCAGTTGAACTGTACTACTACTAGTACCTCCGCCAAGCAAAAAACGCACATCTCTTTATATATTTCTTGAGAGCTCCTGTCCTTTTCAGGATATAAGATATACAGAGGCTCGCTCTATTGCACTAAATTGGCTATTTGCAGTAGTCTTTAAGGGGAAGGGCATCCCCGATATCTCGCCAGACTGAACTTGCATTGATGCAGCACGAGCATATTCGCAGGCGTACGTGACCCGCGTACGAGATCCGCCTATTCGTAAGAACTCCGCCTACTCAGTGCAGCCTTATTTGCGCAGCCTTCTCAGTTCATGAGGTACATGAAGCATATGCAAACGCTGCAGTAGTAGAGTCTACATGGAGCGGTAAAATAGCTGGGCATCACTGACTTCGGCAAATGACGACTCAGCTTATATGTGTTTCACTGAGCAAACATCTCCTTCAACCATCAGAGCATAAGCGGGAGGCTTTGGCAGTGACGAGCTCGGCCGGAAAAATCAAGTGAAGTACATCGTATGCAAGTCATGTAATCATATATAGAGGGGTACCAAACTTGACCGAAATTGTGTTTCAACACATAAGTGCGTCTTTTGTAGTAGTATACTACTTCAGTACTATTTTATCGACAATGTACATATCGGAAACGAGCCAACTATTTTATGTTGATGTTTCCTCTATGGGGATTGGATATATATTGGACGCCTTCCAAAAATATAGTAAGCACCTGACATACCTGCAGCAGATATTGCAGGCATAACGATCGAATAAAATCCGTGGGGCGTAAAAATCGTCTGAGTAATCTACCCTTCCCCTATATTTAATCTCTGTAGCCATCTTATCGCTAGATCTAGAATTTTGTATTGAAAATACTGACCATCGCTCTGAACTGACCCACAATCACTCTCTCTGCATATATCTCGCATATCTCATTTTTGCGCTCAAGTTGAAGAAGCCCACACTTTCGAAAATCGGTCGTTGAGGGCAAAGTGCCGCCATCGTAACGAAAGGTACGTACTCAAGAAGCTTGGAGAAGAATGTTTGCTAATTGGCTTCCTACTTGCAGGAGATGGTTCACTCGGCCACGTATTGGCGCGAGAGGTGCATTGCAGATTCGTCGACGGAGGAGGAGAACACGCCGCCTAATCTCCACTCTGGTGTTGCCGATAATCTGGACGGGTACAGCTCAACAGGCACTTCGTCTGTAGTGAGGGATACGCCGCCGCGCAAGCCGAAGCCGGGGGGGGGGCACTCCGACAGTTGGTGATGGGTTGCGGGCATCAGCATCTCCGTCACACACGCGCGCGCCACGCAGCCCGACGACATCATCACCGGTGATGCTGGGGGCGCCTCCATCGCCACTGCTTCGTCCGCGCCCAAGCGTTCCTCTACGCGAGAATCGTTCATCACGGCGAGAGCGTCGGGCTGCTGCTGACCCATACCGCCGACGTCATGGCCATCCTCGTGAGCCAGCGTCATCGTCGCCTAACCCCCGGGGACTCCTGAGAACAAGCCCCATCTCGGCTCTAAAGCCGCGTGTTGCTGTGTCCCGTTCTCGCGACCGCTTTGTACCTGCAGACTGGCCGTGTCGAGTCCGTTTAACCCGACCGGTTTGGTGTTCCCGACGGTGGCCAACTTCGGCTGGTGTGAGTGCGCGCTGCCGTGCCGTGTGGGTACATCACGGAAACTTCCTTGTCGCAGATTTTTTCTACACACCCAGCTGCTGGCCCTTTAGGAAACCAAATTGTTGAGGAACGCCTTTTGGCGAGATCCTCTTCGTGTTTTTTTGGGCGCGGAAAGTTGGCACCACGCAAGTTTGGCGGTTGTTAGCGGCTTGAAGACATCGAAGCGGGTGAAGTGCTGGGCGAAATTTGGGCAGTTAGAGCATGTGAGCGTCAATCCCCGCGGCCGACCTCGAAACGAAGGTTATCGTCTTGTTATGACACAGAGACCGGAAATCGATCCACCCGATTCGTGTTGCAATCAACGCAGAGAGCATGGGCGGCCTAATGCGCTTCGCTAACCACTCCTGTGCGCCGGTGGCGCAGTTCGTAGAGGTGTCGAACGGCCGTCGCACCACCGTTGTCGTTGCCACGACGGAATACATCCGGGAAGGAGAGGAAATCACCGTCGACTACGGGACGGATCTCTGGTTCGTGTGTCGTTGCGGCCTCGCGACCTACCGCCACCGCGAGATCCAGAAAGAGCAGGACCCGTAGCGTGCGTGCGGGTACCAGCAAGATGTGAGCGTGATGAGTAGAAGCGATTACATACTAACATCCTGTGAATGAATGTATCCATCTTCGATAGTCCACGCTGGTGTTGAAGTGAAGGCGTACGTCTCTTCATTTTGAAGCTTTACAGTCTAAGTTGAAGCTGGAGGACGGGGTTTCGCGCCAAAACAAGAGCCCCAAGAGATACCAACGGTAAGAAAAAGCTTCGGTCTCCGTTAGCGCACTCTGTTGGGCGCGAAATCATGTTGTAGCTTCTACTGACGCTCGATTTTGGTGGATAGAGGCCAAAGAGCGCCGCCGGCGCCGCACAAAAGCGCGGCGCTGACAAGGCGAATTCGGAGCTCTCATTACTGGTTTTGCCAAGCTTCGGGCAAGTCCAACCCCCGTTCTCGACGTAGCCCTCGCCCTTCAGTGCCCTCAGCGTTCTTAACGACCCCGGTACTTGTCAAAACCTCTCCTGTGTTCCCGCTACAGCTTTACTAACGTTTTGTCTATCGATGCGCTCGTGTTCTTACTTGTAGATGGCTAAACTAACAGGGAGTACAAACTACAAACTTTCTGAAGTGCAACGACTGCTAACTCTCGTCGAGAAGTTTCTGCCACTTGGTAAAGATGAGTGGGAACGTCTGGCAATCTCCTATAACTCAAACCGAGGTCGTAGCATCTCCGAGCGTGATTACGAGAGTCTGCGGCGAAAGTTTAAGATGCTCTACAGTACCCGCAAACCAACGGGTGTGGCGGACATGCCTCCACATATCAAGGCGGCGAAGCTGCTGAAGAAGAACATTGACGAAAAGGCGGGGGTGACGGAAATGGACGACGGTGCCGATGTCGACGGCCAATTCGAAGATGAAGAGGACGACCAGCCTGACTTCAGCTTTGACTTGGAAGGCGTTGACGACATGGTTAACACCTCCGCTGTCAGTACAACCAGCCTTTACTCGGCCACCAACCTAGGCGAAGTGTCGGTCGACGACTCCACCGCTCAAATCGCCGGCATGGACGAGCTGATGGATTCGGCTGCTGGGCGCGAAGGACTAGAGGCGTTTGCAAACACTTCGGGACCGTCCCCAGTCTGTACCAGATCCCTCGCAACGACAGGACCGATCCACCGGTTTGCCGAAGCCGAACGTGCCGCAAGCTTCGACCTCAAGCGTCATCAGCGTGGAGAAAACCGCCTCGATCCGAGCTGACGACACAGAGTATTCGAAGCGATACCACACGTCTTCCAACCGCCTCGGCGGTGGCAACCTAGCCGAATTTCGAAGCATCAGTGGACGCAAACGCGGAGCTGACGACGACGATGACCTCTCGGAGGCCAGCTACGCCAAAGTGAAGAGAGTTAAGGCTACGAAAGCGGCCAACCAATTAAAGAAACGCCTCAGTGACCTGGAGACAGATTCCTCCGCGGTGGGGGGCAATATCGTTGAGATGATGATCCTCATGCGAGAGGACAGCGAACGCAGAGGTGAAGCTCGTCGTGCCGATGAAGAACAGCGCCGACGCAATGAAGTCGCAGCACGGGAGGCCCTCTGGCACGCCGAGAAACTTGAAGCTGAAGAACGCCGCCGCCAAGAGAAGATGGAGATGGAAGAACGAGCTCGTCGCGATAAGGAGGAAGCCCGCGCTCGCTCGCAAGAGCTCATGTTCTTCATTGGTGCCCTCTTCAAGAAGGAGTGAGAAGATATACGGTCAGTGCTTCTAGCGTTAGAAGTCTACCCCAGAAACCAGCCCACAGAGGGAGGAAGTCCACTTCGTAGCGTTGCATATTAAGAATAGCCCTTGATAGAGAGCGAAAATGCCACAAACACGATGCTAATTGTCCGTCATCTCCGCTCGTATACAACTCGTAGTGAAATTACTCATGCAAAGGAACTTTGCCACTGTTCTTCAAATACATAATCCCAATCCCGTGTTACAGGGAGATCTCCATCGCGCCTGTAAACGTCGTTCGGATTTCCGAAATGCCCACCGTGCGGACTCGGTAATTTGCCATCCAAAATAGGTTGTTTAGTCGCAGTCCACGGAGCTTCTGGTCGTAGGGAAGCGGCAGGTTCAAGCGACTGTAAACCTTCTGCACGCTGCCCATGCCCCACTCAGCAGCCTGTCTCACCGACGTGATGGCGTTGTGCAGGGTGCGCGCCGAGCTTCGTAGCGACGGTTGAATCCTCTCGAGATCCCCGTCCTTCAACGGCGTCAATATTCTCCCGGTCATCGCCGTGGAGCAGGGAAACGCCGAATCTGACACGACGTTCATGCGCACATCCGGACAGTAAGTAGGATTCAGGAGCTTCATGCGAAATCCCAAAGAGGTGTCGGAATCGTTCCAGGACCCAGGGCAGTTATGCTTGGACCATATGATGCACCCGTCGGCGGCGAAGCAGATCGTGCCGGTCACCAGCACGGAGTGTAGCCATCCGTTATACATCGCATTTTATAGGTCAGCATTAGATGGTTGCTGCACCTGAAACATATAGA